GTGTACTTTCTTGTGCATCATTAGGGTTACTTGACTGATGATGCTTGCAATAGTTTCATGTCATACAACTTGTTGCTCTCTGTGCTTTAAATAAATGCAGGTTCAACTTTGCATAACCAAGTGGATATTCGTAGTTTCATCTTGTGCTATTTCTGTAACTGTTACAGTAGCTGTAGAAACCACTACTGTGGACCAATGCTAACCACTGCATAAAAAGATGGCTCCAGCTTGGAAAAATCCATAAAATGTGTAGAAAGTAACTGAACATTATGTGGAAATCTCTGGAAAGTTAGCACTCAATATACCTATTCTTTCTTGAGTCGGGGTTTTCTTCAACTTTGTTTTATACCCAGCTCATGGGTAACATTTCCCACTCCCCAGCAGTAGCAGTCAGAAAAAGGAATTAAAATGTTAAACCTGTGGCTGAGAGATCAAAGCATGGCATTTTCCTTGAATAAATAAAAACGGAGTCTACTGCTCTGTTCTCTCATGCACAAAGTTGCCATGTTGATCCAATTCTTAGAAATCTTGCAATTTTTCTTTATATTCTTGTTTCCATTCTTTTCAGAAACTAATTCTCTACAATTTGCAACAATAAATGCTGTACTAAGCCACAGGGAATTTTAAAATTCAACAATAACATGCTGTTAGTAGGACACTGCACTTACTTAGGCAATCATGATAGCACCTGCTTTCAAAACATAATTCTTACATGGTAAAATTCTTGGGCATTAGTTAGATTAGAAAGTAATACCATGCTTGTTTAGGAGTAATTTTATAGTATGAACATTATGCTATCACAAAATTACCCCATTGGTTCTGTTATGAATACGATTTGTTTCCTTATTTTTCTCTGGAACACTTTGCCCACTATAAACAAGTAGCTATTTTCAATAAACACCAGCAGAAGCCTCTTAAGGTGCCAAGTCTCAGAGCCAAGTGAAAGCACGTCAATCTCAGCTTTCTTCTGTAGGCATCTAGGCCTCTGGATGTAAAAATACAAAGTGAAAACCTAACCTGCAGGCAATGCAATTGCAACTTGCTTGCAATATTCTTAAGCATAAAAAAGAGAAAAGTAACTGTATATAAATACATGGTCTTATGTTCAATTTTAAGCCAGTCTCCTTCATTTTTGAGATTCAATTATTTAATAGTTGGGTGTTGACAGTGCTGCATAACTAGCTGACAGAGACAGTGCATGAAATGAATCACAGTTCCTACAGCTCTTCTGGGGTGCAATGATTTTGCTTGCTTTTGGGGAAGTGGAGAAGAGAGGTCCTTGCATACAGCAGGAACAGCAGCTAATCATACCCCATTGTGAAATGATTCAAATAGAAAAGGGGAGATCTGGCTTCCTCCTAGATGGAGGCTTGTGTTTGCTGATCACAGGAGCCAGCAATGTGGTGGCAAGATAGTTTTTAGTTAACAATAGTAGTTTTGCCTGCTGCAGATATTATTCCAGGTGCTCAGTTTGGAAAATGGCAATACCAATTCCAAGAAAATGGTTTTAACAACACAAGATATCCTGTTGATAGAAAAGCTCATTACCATGAAAGAGTGCTGAGCAAATTACTGTGCTACTTAGGCTTCTTTTACAGATGGAAGAATTGTGTGTCTGCAGCCTCAGAACCTTTCATCTTTTATCCTTACTGACGTGTACTTGGTAAAATAAAAGAAATATATATAATTTACAAATGTTCTTTTCCTTTGCAAATCTTAGTGTTCTAGACAGACCAGTAAGTATCATCTCATTTTACAGCAGAATTAAAGGCAGAGGGAAATTAAGCAATTTTTGAAGGGTAGCAAAAGAAGGAACACAACCGGATTCTTTTCAATTATGTTCAGTCTGTTGGACCACCAGCTTGAGGATGCTGAAGGCAACTCTTATTTCTACTGTGTACTGGACCAATGCAGCAGCCATGTTGTAGTGACAAGAATAAATTCTGCACCACGAACTTCTCTACAATTGTTATCAAAGCAGGCACAGTAGTAAGTTAGTTGGGCTGGTTCTCATCTGGGCTATGTTTTAAGAATTCCAAATGTCAAAGACATGAGCTAGCCCTAACTATGCAGCTCTCTTCATGTAAGCTCCATTTTATCTGTAATGTTCTTGCTAGATGAAAATCCCAGTGATAGAGGATACTTAGTGGTGAAATCAGTATGGGTGACCTAGGTTCTGTTCAGGTAACTATAATTGGCTTTTTGTGCTGTTATTTTTATTACTGCAACTCCTATATATCCTCCCAATACTAGAATTTCAGTGGCCAAATTTAGCACGAAACACATAAGCAGAGGCAACCTCTACTTTTTAACAGTTCACAAACAGAAGCTAAATATGCAGGAATGAATTGTTGCATGTTACTCTCCCCCAAAAAACCTAGAAAATTTTCCAGATACCAAACAGTATTTGAGTTGAAAAGCATGCTGATAAAATCCTGAAGTAGCAATCTGCCTCTGGAATAAGAATGTCCGCATAGGGTGTTAAACACGTGTAACAGAAGGAAGATATCACACCAGCCTACTAAACCTCCTGATGTTGACTGATAATAAGTTCTGACCCCATAATGTGGTCCCTGTGTTACTGTGTGAAACCCTGCTCTTTCCTGCAGGACTGAGCAAGCCTGTAGCTTACATTTTCCACCTTAAATCAAACAGGAAGTCTGCAACCAAATTGCAGGGTGAACATACATCTCCTGAGCTCCAGTTTAAACTGGACTTCTAAAGAAGATTTTTTTCCTCCCCTTCAGTTAAGAAACTCATTCTCATTTTTTTTATAGGCTTCTCATAATCTATGACTCTCAGACTTTCATATGCCAAACGTGTCCATGACTCATGTCAGCTGATACCTCCACGGACAGACAAGGAGCAGCAAGAGCAGTTCCTCTCTGCCACATGTGCGGATTGACTCGCAGTGTGCTGAGTGCAGCACTGATCAAAGGCAGCACAGTGGGATTCAGGATCTTCCCTGAAATGTCAGCTGTGCTCCCAGTGTCACAGCTAGCATCCAGAGAAGGCTGGAAGAGCAGAAGAAAGGGGGGAGGAGGAGGGAAGAACAGAGGCTCTCAACTTCAGTGTGAAGTTGTTTGATTCAGAACTAGAGGATTTACCTTATGTACCTTCAGCTTTATGTATTCTTTCCCCAGAAAGTTTCACAAACAAGGTTACATCACAACATCTGACGTGTAATCTTTACAGGAATAACCAAATGTTTTACTCTTTCATTACCCTGTCTAACAGCAGGCATTTGCCTAAACAAGAAGGAATCATCTTAGGATAACAGACATCTTCATTACATGGATAAATTTAGGTGAGGTAGGGAACTTAGATACTGTGAGATCACAGGAATATTCCCACTAGCTAAAGATGATGATTCATCAGGAAATGTTAATGTAGGGTCACAGGTAGAAAAGTAATATTCAGGCCAGAAGCACAAATAAGTTGGATTCGCTTGTCTTAAACCTAGCTTCCAGTATTTGGTTTTGGTAGGGTTTTTTGTTGGTTTGTTTGTTTGCTTTGCTTTAGTTCTCTACAGTGATTTTAACTTTTGGTTAAGATTGTTTGGAATTGATCATTAAAGCAAACTAGTGAAAGAGATCTAGCACTAGGTT